TAGTTTTTCTTTTCTTTTCATTTTTTTTTTTTTTTTCTTTTGTACTATACAGGATACGTCTGCCTGTTCCAGGAGCTTGCACACCTACCACCACCACGCCCATATTCCACCATCCACTTTATTATTCCTGGGTAGTGCACTTGACAGATCTCCATTCTTCTTGCTATTTTAATAACCTGCCTGCTTAATGGAGCATTTTCACTTTTTTACACTTTTTTTTAAATCTCTATGAAGACAATTTTAATTTTCTCCAATGTACTGTTGCATAGCTACGTTAAAGACCGAGGTCTACTTAACGTTCCATTTACCAGGGCCCCAATTTGTAGTCCTAAACATAAATCTGTAAAGCAGGAAGATAGTTAGTACTTGGGTCTCCTGGTGATGAAGATTTAGTGTATTTTTGGAAGTTTCCGATTTAAGAGCTAGTTCACACCAGCCACAGTGCGTTCCAGCCCGATTGGGGCCGGAAGCCACTGGATCACCTTGCGGCCGGCTCACTTTGTTGTGGGGCAGGAGGGGGCGTGGCGGTGCATTGAACTCAATGGCACCGCAGCCACACCCTCCGGCCGCTGTGTGGTCGGCCGCACAGAAACGTTGTGGCACATCAATACCTACATTCCGGTCAGAAAAATAGTGCTTGCAGCATTTTTTGACTAGGCTGCAGGCATTGATGTGCCACACGTTCCCGTGCGGCCCCCTCCCGCCCCACAACAAAGAGAGCCGGCCGCAATGCGATCCAGTGCATTCCGGCCCCAATCGGGCTGGAGCGCACTGTCTGCTGTGAACTAGCCCTTAAAATATGCCTAGATATTTTTACCCTGTTGGCATCTTTGCACCAGCAGATTAGCCTGTGGAAGATCTAGGTGCAATAGTGGAAGATCTAGGTGCAATAGGCGTATCTGTTATTTATCACTTTAGGACATTACTGTGACCGGATACTCTAACCTCTTTATTGTGGCCATATACAAAAGAGCAGGGATTCATAGTAAAGATGCTGTAATGATACTTTTTATCCCCCGCCTCTGTGTAAAGTATAAATTGAGATCCAGACTTTCACAGCTCACTCCTTTATTTCAAACCACCATCTGCAAAGGAGACGCTCTTGATTGGCAGCTTTTATCTCTGTCTCTGCACATTCTGCAGGTGATAATTATTAAAAAAATTAAACCTAGTAGGGGTAGATGAATTAATGTGGAATTCAGGAGCCAGTTCCATTGACGGAGAAACCCTCAAAAGTTAGGCACCAGCTGTATTTGCAAGGGGCATTTGCTACGTGGCTCCTGAGATGTGTCCTGCCCTGCGTTAGCTTGAACCTTCTAAATGGATGGCTTAAACAAAGTGCACAGGTCCCATACTGTAATAACTTTTACATAGTCTTTGCGAGGCCCGTGTGAGCTCTGGAACCGAGTCTGGGTTTTTATACCAGTGTTAATTTTTCTGGGACCTAAAATGTGTTCTTGGTCTCGCCCCATCCAGTAATATCGCGTACGATTATCGTACGATAATCGTGCAGTGTATGGGCACCTTTAGTCGCCTCCTTGGATAAGGCCAAGCTTGGCTTTAGCCACTGAAATAAAGACATGTGTAGTAGTGTGCCAGATTTCTGTGCTGCTCGTGGCAATTTCTAATATAGTAGCAGGAGGTTCCGGCATTTCATGCCCGCAATCTTGGCAGGTTTTCCTTTAATTGCAGTTAAGAAAGGTAAGCTTACTGACCTAGGTCTGCTAGCAGTGCCTGTCTGATAAAATAAATATATTGGTCTTCTGGTAGGTAAGATTGTTCACATTTATTTAGCTGTTTGCCGGAGTTCAGCTTTAAAGTTTTTCTCATCAGTTAGTTTCCACATGTTTTGTTTTTCTCTTTAGATTAGTAGTCTTGGCATTGACTGTGACCAGTTATAAACTTATTAAATTTTTCTTTGGATCTGGTTTATACAACCTCAGGTTGCACAAAATGAATAAATTATCTTTCTTGTTAGAAAAGTTATTTGAGCCCTTTGGCTAATAGTCATGTGCTCCCGTATGACTTGGTCCAGTTTTTGAATACAGAAAGCAGTATAATATTAAGAGGCATTAAAGGATATTTTGCATATATCTATGGCTAGCAAGCAGATGTATGCAAAAGCATAAAGAAAGTTACCAAAAAGGTAATAATGTACCTGTGTCTCCGCCGCTCGCTTCCATCTGAAGATCTTCCACATTGATTCGTCCACCCCTCACCTACCAACATAACATTGGAGGAGAAGGTGAGGGTACCCAAAGAAAACCCCAATAAAAGTTTGTGAGAACTTAAAGTTGTGTCCACAATGGAAATTGAACACGGGACCCCCAGCACAGCAAAGGAAGAAACTTTGCTGCTCTGCCGCCCATATGGGATTGTTTTTGCCTGAAAATAAGTCAATAAATCAATGTAGGAAATGTGCACCAGACCAAGAAGATGTTTCCTCTTTCTGCATCCTTCCTCTTCCCTTTCACGTTAGTGCATGTAGTTTGTTGTGGCAAGGGCAATGGGATGTGAGCATTGCGTTTAAACATTGTTAATCCAACACTCCACTCCTGTTACAGAGCTCTGAACATCATTTTATCCCTTCGCAGTTGCACTCGAGTTTTTACATTCATTCCCTTAAAGGAGAACTATGGGGAGTGATTTTTCACTCAACCTCCTAGTTCGAGCCGACGTGTGACAATGAAACTGTCACACGTCAGCTCAATAGATCGGGAAGCGAGAACACATACCGTCACTCGCTCATGTTCCGATCATCTCCCTGCAGAGTGGTGACTGTCAGTGGGAGGGGGCAGGCACAGCTGGCTCTGCTTCTATATAGGCAGTCATAGCTGCAGCGATCTCGGTAAACAGTGAGCTATAGTCCGCTATCTAATAAGCTTTGGGTCACGGGAGGAGGTTAGTATATGTCCTCCTGTGACCCCTAAGAGAACTATGGGATAAAAAGGTTACCACATGGTTCTCTTCTAAACAGTCAAGTTGCACTTACAGTGATATACTTCTTTTAAGTTTTAACTGCAAAATGCTGCAGCGAGGGTTGATGTGGATCAGGGCATGGCTGTGAGATTATATGTATGGGGTTCCTTGTCTTCAGAAATGTACAAAAGTGTTCTTGTTTTCCAGTGGATTTTGAAGCTCTGATCATCGCCATATCCGTGGTTGGAGGCATCATTATTTTGTCTGTGGTGATTTGCTGTTGCTGCTGTTGTCGGAAAAAGAAGAACAGAAAGTAAGTAGTCCGATCATGCTTTGTGTTTCTGCAAATGTTCAGACCATGTTTTTTTGTTTTGCAGAACTGAATGCAGTTAGGAATGATTTATGGCTCTATTGTTTCTACTGCCTGACTGACTTTCAGAGGCGTTACCTTGTAGACCTTAAAGTGTATTCCCACTTGCACAGCCATATTGGGATATTTTATATTGGGACATGTTCCCATTCACATAGTATATTAAGATTAAAAAAAATGCTTCTTGCATTTTAAATTGCTTCCACTTGGGTTCGTTTCTTGACTTTTTAAAGTTTTTTCAAATTTTGACCTGCTTCTCCTTCGTTATAATGTTTAGGAGGGGCTCTGAGGGGTTAAGATTACAACCCTGGCTTCTGCATTCAAGTGTTAGGGCTTGTTCACACCATGTCCAGACCAGAACAGTTTGTTCACGGGCCAAAAAGCATCCCAATGTATCCTTATAGTATTTCTGGGCTCTGTTCACACCAGCACAGTCCATTCTGGTCCAGACAAAAAAAAAATATATATATATACTGCTGGTCTCATTTTTCTGGTCTGGAAACGTATCAAAAATGCACTTGACTTTAAGCAAAAATAAAAAACCAGCACCAGAACGTGGTAAAAATGCACTGCACTGTGTGTGCAGATCTGCTCTAGACCTGGTATGAACATTGCCTCAATGAGAAAAACACAAGCCCACAATTTCAGTCTTAAGTCTTTCTATAAGGACAGATCACTGTGAAGGTGCTTAGAAAAACCTGGAATCGCCCATGTTGCCTGCTGCAACGAAACATTAAAATAGTAAGGCATATTTTTAAACTTTGTTTTTTTTGGGTATGCTGTGTGAATAGGAACACATCATTTTCTAAAATTTGACTGTAAAAGGGGAAATACACTTTTAAATTGGCAAAAATTGTTGAAGCTTTAAGCAAGTGTTTACATTGATTGTGACCATCTCTGGGTTCAGTTCTTTACTTTTCTGACCACATGTCATGTTCTACTCTATATTCTGGTTCTAACATGAAATATGGTCAGATGTCAACACACGGCACTTACCTGAATTGTGGGATTCAGTCCCCCCTCCCCCGCAGGCTGCTGTGAATTTTTGAATTATTCATAGCTGTGTGTGGCTCTTCCCATACAGCCGTATCATCCATTCACACAGGATCTGTGGCTGGAGAAATGACAAGTCCTATTAGCCACTGCAGCAGAGGGACTTGTTCTCAGTGGAGTACTGGTACAGTAGGCTAGAGTAACAGTAAGGCAACCAGCATCCGTAATGTCAGCCCCCATATTTCTCTAATCACATATTTCTTTAAAGGAGAACTATGGGGTCAGGGCTTTTCCCCATAGTTCTCCTAAGGGTAACGGGAGGACACAAACTAGCGTTCTCCCGTCACCCTCAGCTCAGTATGTAGCTCGCCGTATACTGAGACGCTGCACCCGGGACTGATCCCAACATTACTGTCGAGATCCACCCAGCTGCAGGATTGACAGCTGGCTCTGCCTATCTAGATGCAGAGCCAGCTGTGCCCTCCCCCGTCCGTTCCCCGACTCGGCACTGGAGGAGCGGGGAGGGGGGAATCCCTGTGGGCAGCCGTGACTGACAGTCATGGCTCTCTGCAGGGGGATGATCGAGAAGTGAGCGAGCGACGCTATGTGTTTGCTCACTTCCCGATCTATTGAGCCAACCTCTGACAGTTTCATTGTCACACATCGGCTAGAAATATATAAGGAGGAGTTATTTTCACTCGCCTCATTTCTCCTTTTTAAAGCACCCTTCAGCTTCCCAATACAAATAGCATATTTCAGGCTGGTGCTTTTAACAAGCTGCTAGCAGGCTTTTGTAGACCTTCATAAAGCATCAAATCAAAGCCATCACTCCTGTGTGGTTAGGGCTCTTGGAATGGAGCTGAAGGTGCTTTAGAGTGACAGTATTGCTATTTCTATATTTTCAAACAGAGCTTGCTGTGAAGGAAGCATTATTTGCTTGTCGCCCTGTCTGCACTGCTGAACTCCCCTGGATTGAAGACAGAAGTGCATTCTGGTGAGGGACCAGGAATCTGAGACGCCCAGAAAGCAAGCCTTTCTCTTCCAAGCAGTGTAGACTATGGGACAGGCAAGGATTGCTTTGCGTTGAGCTCTCTTCACATTTTAAAACTAGTGTCAGGCACTTTAAAGGAAACTTATTCCAAGCTTTGTAAGTCGCTCAGTGGAACTTCAACTGAGCCCAGTGCTTTTTTTTTAATATTCAATTTTTATTAAAGTATATATTTTTTTATAAGCAAATCAGTTACATTTTTTACAAGACAAATACATTTCAAACAAAACAAGTACATTTCAGGTGCAGCCCGCCATTAATAGGCAGACGCAGTTCTCTGCCTTCGGGGAAAAGGGGGAATAGTATCCGTACAATAACCCATTCTATCCTTCCAATGTTGCCCTCCTACAAGCGACTACCTCTACAGACTCTACGGTTCCCATTAGACAGTTCATAGGTCAGCTATATTTACACCTTATGGTTTTTTCAAAACGAGCCCAGTTATAGTAATTAAATAATTAGTTCACCGGTCAGCTGTGTATATATGGGCATAGCTTTAAAGGCAACCCAGGGAGACCAGATGGTTTTAAACACAATCGTACGTTCTTGTCTCACCGCGGTAAGTTCCTCCATCAGACATAGATAGTCCACTTTATGTATCCATTCCCCAATTGGAGGCACCACAGGGGTGTTCCAATATTTAGGAATGAGGAACTTAGCAGCATTCAATAAGTGTGGCGTCAGGGATTTCCTATACCTTACAGGCGATATATCCGACGTGTAATAAACATGCCCAAGGATCAGTAAGGGGGGGTTGCCCCGTTATAGATGCAATAAGAGTGGTAACTTGCAACCAGAAAGGTTTCACCTTAGGACAAAACCACCATATGTGTCCGTGGGTGCCTACGAGTCCACAACCCCTCCAACATTCTGGGGAATGTATTGGATGCATCGCGTGCAGGCGATCCGGTGTATAGTACCACCTCGCCAGTAGTTTATATGAGGCCTCTACTACATATGTACTAATGGAGGAGGAGAAATTGAGGATGAGCAATCGTTTTTTCTGAGGACCTGTCAAAGTAATACCCAGGTCTGCCTCCCAGTGTATTAAGTATGACGGAGCTTGGTTTACCCGGGATGAAAGCAAAATTTTGTATACTTGCGACAAGCCATGAGATGGGGAGTCAGGTTGTGACAATAGATTCTCCAGCCTGTGTAGGTTTTTGAGAGATCTAAGCAGTTTAGGAAGAGAGGAGACAAAGTGGAGTAGCTGGCGATACCGCCATTCGTCAAGGGGTCGGACACCAAACTTATTTTGTATTTGTAGCGGTGTTACAAGACCCGACTCTTGCGTAACCTCATATAACCTAAAAAGCTTAGTATCGGTCCAGTGGCGAAAGCCACTGTCCATGCAGCCTGGTGGATAAAATGAGTGACCCAGCATTGGCAGTAGAGTGGAATTGTAAGGACCTACTAGCTGGGAATATATTTTAGACCAAATAGTCAGGGTGGACTTAGTCGGGGGGAGGTGGAATTCCGGAGCTCTCTATACTCCGGTGGTATCCAACATATCGTCGACAAAGGTTGGCCAGCCAAGGAGATTTCCAGGTCAACCCACCGTTTACTCCCCTTCTGATATGTCCAGTCCAAGACTCTATTAAGGGCAGCTGCGTAGTAATACAAGGTGAAGTCTGGGAGGGCTAGGCCTCCCTCCCGTTTGGTCCTAGTGAGGGTCTGGCGAGCTATCCTAGCTTTGGAACGATTCCATATATACTTGTCTACCACTCTACGTAGGGTCTAGAGGTAACATTCTGGTAGAGAGATAGGCACTGTTTGTAGCAGATATAGCACCCTCGGAAGTATGTTCATTTTAATGCCGTTGATCCTGCCTTTCAGAGTAAGATAGGGACGATCATTATTCCATCTAGAGAGATCCGTCTTTATACTGTTCAATATAGGAATATAGTTACAGTGCATCAAATCTGAAAATTTAAAAGTCAAAAATATTCCTAAATATTTCGGCTTACGAGTTTTCCACAAAAACGGCAGGGTGTCTCGTATCTGTTGGCATTCCCTTTGCCGAGGTTGTGAGGTTTAATAGTTCAGATTTATGTAAATTTATTTTAAAGTTCGAAACTAATCCGTATTGTTCAAATTCCTTGAGGAGGTTAGGAAAAGTAATTCTAGGCTGTCTCACGAAAAAAAGAATGTCGTCGGCATAAGCCGCTATTTTATGTTCATACCCTTGTACTTCAACACCTCTAATGTTTATGTTATTTCTGATAGAGATGAGCAGGGGTTCCAGAGTAAGTGCAAATAAAAGGGGTGATAAAGGGCAATCCTGACGAGTGCCATTGTGGAGTTCAAAGGCATAAGATAGAGTACCGTTAACCTTAATTTGTGCCGTGGGTTTGTGATAGAGGGTTTTAATAAAGTGTAACATTCTAGGGCCAAGTCCAATATGTTCAAGCGTGGTTATTAAAAAGTCCCAATCGACTCTGTCAAACGCCTTTTCCGCGTCGGTAGATAGAATCATGGCCGGAAGGGTTGATGTGGAAGCGTGATTAATCAGTCAGTGCTCGCTGCGTATTATCCCTAGCCTCTCTTCCCGGAATGAATCCAGTCTGGTCAGCTGAAATAAGATGAGGTAGTAATGGCGCCAGGCGATTGGCTAGTATTTTGGCGTACAATTTAATGTCGGTATTTAATAAAGAAATAGGCCTGTAGGTACTGCACACAGCTGGATCCCTTCCGGGTTTAGGGAAGACTGAGATATAAGTGTGTAAAGTAGCTAGTTCTGGTGGTTTACCTGTGGAAAAAGTATTTAAATATGTACATAATTGTGGTTTTAGCAAAGATTGAAAAGTTTTATAGTATTTTAGTGGGAACCCATCCGGACCAGGACTTTTTCCGGACGGGGAAGTGGCTATAGCCTTACTGAGTTCTAATTCAGATATTGGGGTTTCCAGCGACATCAAGGTCGTCTGATCTATTTGGGGAAAAGAAAGATTGGTCAAATAGGAGCGAATCAGGTCTTTGTCGTTTTATTAAGCTGTTCAGAGGGGTCCGGTCGAACATTGTACAGTTTAGCGTAAAATTCCCTAAACGTTTGGGCTATCTCCTTCGTAGAGAATGTAATGTTATCCTTCGCATTCTTTATTTTAGGGATGAAGCCCATGTTTTGATGAACCCGTAAGAGGCGAGCCAGTCGTCTACCGGGCTTACTTCCGAATTCATAGGATTGTTGGGAAAGGTACTTCAAGGATCTAGAGTACTTAGATTGAAGAACCTTACGTAACTCCTCCCGGGCTTTAGAGAGCTCCGGGAGGAGAGCATCTGCCAGCGACCGTTTATGTGCTTGCTCTAGAGTAGTTATCTTCTGAGTCAGCTTGTTAATTTTATGAGTACGTTCCTTTTTTTTTACGTGAGCCGTGAGCTATAAATTTCCCCCGAATCGTTGCCTTATGAGCTTCCCAAAGAATCCCAGGGGAAATATCTTCCGTCTCGTTCTCGCGAAAATATCATGTGAGGTCGTCTAGTACAGCTGACTCAACTATAGGATCAGCTAGCAGCTGTTCGTTTAATCTCCACATATATGGAGATCTGTGTTCTCCTGGTCTCTCCAGTCGGGCCGATATAGGGGCGTGATCTGACATTGTGGCCGTGTGGATTTTAGTGTCAATAAGAAGGTCCAAGTGTCTGTGTTCCATAAAAATATAGTCTATACGGGAGTACATATTATGCACCGTTGAGTATACCGTATAATCTTTTTCGTGTGGGTGTAATATTCGCCAGGTGTCCATGAGCTGGAGTTTATGAAAGTGTGACTTAAGATTAGTGATTTGTCTATGTGCCATATGTGAACGGCCCGATGAAGAGTCTAACGACGGGTCCATATGGACATTCAAGTCCCCTGCAAGTATCGTTATACCCGCTTGGAATTCCGTAAGGGAGTTTAAGGTATGATTTAAAAATGATGTCTGAGATTGATTTGGACCATAAATATTCACAAGAGTGTATATCTGCTGCCCTATCTTCCCCCGTAGGAACAAGAATCTCCTGGCTGAATCTGTTTTCCTTTCAAGGAGGCTGAATGGGAGGCGTCTGTGCAACCCAATGGCCATGCCATTACGCTTACTAGATGGAGAGGTATTGTAGTACCACGTAGGGTATTGCTGAGAATGTAGTTTAACATGGGAAGTGTGTGCAATGTGTGTTTCTTGAAGAAATACTATGTCCCCGCCTAATGCTACCAGTTCCCTATAAAGGGCGTGGCGCTTAAAAGGTGTATTAAGACCCCGAACATTATAACTAATTATTCTAACGTCCGCCATCGGGTTGCATTTCTGCTCGTCCCCCAACAGTCTCCTTTAAGGATCTTCACACGGATAGGGCAAACAAGGAAGGTAGGGAAAAGGTCGGGGTAACATACATAGGGAGCTGATAATAGGTGAAAAAAGGAAGAAAGTGACATAAAATTAAGAAAAAAAAAAAGGATCGAGGAAGAGGTCCCCAGTCCTGTTCCTCAGTGTCAAAGAACAGAAACACTGAGGCTTAACATTACCAAAACGGGTTCTCTTGGAACCATATACACCTTTTACGGGGTACATGACGTGGGCAAAAGAGGCACTACCAGGGAAGTCTAAGCACTTATTCACTTCCACTGTTGCCCCTGTCAGCACGCACCCGCATTATTCGTATCGTTAGTATTGCATTAACATTACTTATATATAAGCAAATATATTCACCAACGTCTTAATATTAGTACATCCTATTTTCGGCCAGATGAAAAGAAGGCCATTATGACTCAGAAAAAACATGGGAAAAAAACACAACATACAAATTCCTCGGCCATATTCAACAATTTTAACCATTACACAAATCTTTTAACAGAGAGGCCGTACTTTAGGTAGATTAGAAAGAGAGGCTTATATCGTCTTTCAAACATTATGTCGGGTAGACAAGGGGGTTGTCTCCACCGACTGGATAGTGCCCAGTGACCTCCATTGTTGGTCCAACAATAATGGAAGGGTGGGCAAAGAGTCGCCCCATCCTGGTAATTTCGGTATGGTGATGCACAGAGATTCACAGAATGCCTCTAAGTCCTCAGGGAAGCGAAGAACTGACGTCTTGCCTTGCCTTCTGGCAATTTAGACAGAAGCTCCAACAGTGGGCGCAGAGCCCTGCGTCTGAAGAGGGTCTCCCTAGCCAGGTCAGAGAAAATTTGTAAGTGGACGCCCTCAAAATCTGTAAGCGGACTCTCCCGAAGCTTCATCATTATAGCTTCCTTATCTGCGTTGTAGTGTAGTCGGCATATCACGTCTCTGGATGTTTCTTGCTGCAGACCCCGTGGGCGAAGTGTTCTATGCGCCCTATCAAACATAAGGGGGGTATCGGGGGCCCTCCCCTGTATGGAATTAAAGATACCCCGTAGTGTAGCCGCCAGGTCACAGTCAGAGATTGTCTCGGGGAGACCCCTTACCCTCAGGTTATTGCGTCGTCCCCTGTTATCCCTGTCCTCCAGGCGATATGAGAGGTCTCTTTGCGTCTTAGCCGTGAGCTGGAGGTGAGACTGCAGGGCCGTTATGACAGTGGCGTGGCTGTCCAATCGGCTCTCTGTCTCCTCCACTCTGTGTAAGAGGTGCGTGACCTCACCTCTAAGCGACAGGATGTCGGCTTTCAGTGAGTTCTCCAGGGTACCGAGCATGTCTGCCAAATCTTGCTTGGTGGGAAGGGTACGTACCAGGTCGTCCATTGATGTGATGTTTCGGGGCCCCCCGCTCGTCTCCGGTCCCAGGATGAAGGTAGGATGACTCTGGGTCTATTCCTCGAGGTGACGAGTGTGTTGAACGTATGTCCTGCACGCCAGTTTTAGCCGCGTTGTGCGGAGTGGATGAGCCCGACTGCTCTGCCGCAATGTATTTTTTAATGCTGGTAGAGGGTGTTTTAGAGGCGCCCGAGCGTGTAGTTTTCTTGTTAATTTTTCAGTAGGGGTTTAGGGATTCATCTGAGTCCAGGATGTCTGTTTTGCGGGTAGCGTGTTCGGAGCTCACGCTAAGCACATCTGAGCGCCGCCATGTCCAAGACACGCCCCCCTGTATCATTACTCCCGAAGCAGCCTGAGCCCAGTGCTGATAAACGTTAAGCATTTCAAAAAACTATTTCTTCTTGTAATCCAACGGCAAGGAGTGGGGGTAAGGGAGTGTAAGTATCCTATTTAGATTAGGGTCCTGTTTTAATTTGTGGCTGAACAATGGGAAATTATCCAACTACAGAAAGTTGTCTAGGTCATTGGACATCATGTAATCCTGCACACATGTATTACAATACCTACTTTACTTTAGGAAGCCTCATAGACTGGGAAAATTCACCCTAGACTGTAGATGTTCCCCATCAGATCAATTGTTCTCATTGGGGTACCTCCAGTACAATATTTCCATGTTTAAAGAACCACCTTCTTTCTGCAGTACTTCCAACTCCCTAAATCCTGAGTGCTTTACATGCCAATGTTGACACTCTGCAGTAATGAGGGCTAGATCCCCCCCCTAAACTTTCAAGTTGGCCATTAAGACCATTCATAGTGCTGGAGGGAGGAAGACCATCCATGGACACTTTATGGAATTGTCATTATATGCATGCGAGTGCTCCCACTACCCTGGCACATACTTTTAAAGATACTTGTATTTAATTGTTGTAGAAGGTTATAGGTGCATTTTATTATTCAGCCCTTAGTTGGCTATTGATGCTTGTTTAACAATCTGCTCAATTTAGCACAAGATGATCTATGTGTTGATGGGTTAAACATGCAGTTAGAGTGTGAATAAACCACAAGTGAATAATCTGATGATCTTTAAACAGCACCACCTTGGAGACTGAGAAAAGGATGAGAGAAAGCGAAGAGAGAAAGGCTCGCCAAGAAGAAAGGTAAATAAATGTTGTAATTGCTCATGCGGAAGTAACTCTACCGACTGAAGAAATCTGTTACGGGGGTTGCAGTGAGTTTATCAGTCAATGATGACTTGTATGTGTGCCCCAGAAAGAAAGAGCTAAGGACTAGTTAGCAGCTTTGCCTCTAGTCTCCATTCAGCTGGTCTTTCCCCAGTACTGACTAACCATGCCTTGTTCTCCACGGTCTGTGTGGTGGCAGCCACCATGATACAGACAGGGCTTTGCTTCCTGATGTCAGAGTCTCCAGCAAGGAGAACAGCACCAGATATCACTTCATATATTGTGAGACTAGTTGTCAGAGGCAGCAGTGCTTTAGATGAACTCAAACTGTAGCTATATTGAATAGTAATGCCAAACTCCCTATCATGCCGGCTACTTTTCACGAGGAATGTAGACAGTAGTTGTAGTAACAGATGGATAGCACTAGTCAAGTATTCTTCTGTTCAAATCAAAGTATATCTTTTTCTTTTTTCCCCCGCAGGAGGGCTAATATGAAGACACAACATGATGCAATAAGGAAGAAATATGGTAAATTTTGATTCTGCGTGGCTCCGCTATTCCTTGGGTTTAAATAATATTGTCAGTGCCCCAGTCTAGGGGGGAAACGATCAGTTTGCTGTGCTTTTGCCACTGAAAGTAGTGCTGCTATGATGGTCTGTTGGCTCGCTATATTTTATTCTGGCCTCCTGAGGATCTAATCTATTTACAGTTGGCTGTATTTTTTCCTCAATGCTTGCTATGGAGGATGCACCATGTTCAGGCCTATTTCTCCTTTCTGTACATGTTCAACACATTGCAAATGAGAATTTGGGGGATTTTTGTATGGAGATGCAGACATTTGATTCTGTATCCGGTGTTGCCAAATTATGTATGTTCCATAAACAGGATTTCGCCCGGATTCAAGATCTTTTCATTATTAGGTACCTATGTTACCTCCAAGGTTTACTCTCTAAGGTGATGGGCAGATTGGTGTTTCAGCTACTATTGGGTTGGGAAGTTCTGACTGTGTACCTTTCTAGGAGAGGTAAAAGCAGTTGCTGCCTCTCTATCTGGATTTATTGACTAGGGTGTCCATGCTCAGTCCTTCATCAGGCTCTATCAATAGGCCCGATCTCAGAAACAAGTTGCTGGAAGACTGCTCAGGTAAGCCTGCACTTTCCCACACATGGTGCTCTATAATGTATTGCTGGGATTTGTATTCCTCTATACCTGTGATGTTTTGTGATGTATATTAGATCAGCTATAGAGGAATACAAATCCCAGCAATACATTATACATACAGTGTACAATGTATTGCTGGGATTTGTTGTACTCTATAGCTGGTGGTATTCTGCATTGTGCTGTATAATGTACTATTGCTGGGATTTGTTGTACTCTATAGCTGGTGGTATTCTGCATTGTGCTGTATAATGTACTATTGCTGGGATTTGTTGTACTCTATAGCTGGTGGTATTCTGCATTGTGCTGTATAATGTACTATTGCTGGGATTTGTTGTACTCTATAGCTGGTGGTATTCTGCATTGTGCTGTATAATGTACTATTGCTGGGCTTTGTAGTCCTTAATAGGCGATGCCATTCTACATTTAATTGCTGTATAATTTTACACTTTTCATTTCACTATATTGCACACCACACTTTTTTTTTTTTCCTTTTCTTTACTTCCACCGCTCCAAGCTTGCTCCTGTGATGGACTACAATCTCAATACAAACTAGTAGTCCATCACTGGAGCCATTTTTTAAAATGTATTTAATTTTTTTTATCCGATTTAACCGATTAATCGAACTTAATAATCGTCCAACTAATCGATTTTGAAAATAATCGTTAGCTGCAGCTCTATCAGGCTCAGATGACGCGGACCCTGCGAGGCCCCGAAAGTACTTGCTATTGAATGACATTGGTTGCCATTAAAATGGACATTTGCTTAACACTACAGCTTGTGTGGTATTGGGGAATACAGTTTAACAAAGTATTCCCCAATTTGACAGCACCTAGGTCCCCTCCTTTCTTCTAGCCTGCTCATTACAGCCATGTCCTGCTCACTCCTATTTCTGAATGAATGAAATGGTACTATCAGGGTGTGCGGTCTAGGAACAAGTATGTCCATTTTATTGACAACCAATGTCATTGAATAGCAAGTACTTTCGGGGCCTCGCTGGGTCCCCCGTCATCTGAGCCAATGGCCAGTGTGAATGGGGGAATCTAGTGGTGGGGTTTTGTTTCCCATGTTCAGTGCTAGTGGGGTTGAATGAGAAAAAAATGGCCAGTGTTAACTGTACTATGAGGCAAATGTTCTAGTGTGAGATTTGAAATCGAGGTTTTATACCACAATAAAGTGATACAAAATGGCACAGCAAAGACTAGGTATGGGTTTGCTTTAATGATTTGACTGTGTAGGCAACATGCACATTTTTTTTTTTTTTACGATGTGCAAAATTCTTATTCTATTAACTTTTATGTTACAGTTTTCAGGGTTGTATTTTACAGTGTACCGTTTTTTTTTATTTTTTATAAGTCTGGCCCAGTTGTTGGCCCAGTGTAGGGATGTTTGTTCTCCATAGAGCTAGGAAGACTCCTTTCCTACTCATATTCCATACTCCCCCTCCCGCATATATTGCATAGACAGATCTTGTTTTGTTTCCATTTATTCTATGCCGTGATTTACATTGCTGGTGCCTGGTTAGTTGCTGCTTCATAGCTTACACATTGTATATGGAAGGGTGATTGGGGGGGTCACAATGTGACTTTCTGTTCTTGCTACAATGCTGCCAATGTGGTCAATATTCACATCTCGGCGGGCAGTGGGTGCAATAAGATTTTCAGTTGGGTGATTTGTATTTGTTTTGCTGCAATGCAGTTTATAAGAATATACACTAATCTAGAATAATTTAGAGTTGAATTTTTTTATTTTTGCTAGTCAGTACAGATTTGCTTGTAATTATTCTCTGGCTTTTCCGCTATTCCAGCCATCTTCCTTTCATTTTTTTTTTTATTCCCATAGTTGATTTTTAGTATGCTGGCTTGTCCCGGGTCTATTAGATTTGACACAGGACATTGGCACCGACCAGATTGAAATGATGGAAATAAGTGTTTTGTATTTTAAATACAAGGACATTGAATTTCAAGGCATTTCAAGTTTTTCTTTCTTTCTGCTAGTCATGTGTGATTGTGGCCATTGGTTTCTACATGTGCACTCCATGAGCCCAGTCTGCCACCTTGTGGTGAACTTGTAGTATTAAAGTCAGTTCTGTACACAAGGATTCCATTGTTCATTTGTAGACGCTGGCCAGAACTTTGTGTTGCTTATAGCAACCAGTCAGATTGCTTGTGTCATTTTCAACTTTACAGATTGCAGAAATGACAAGTAGAAGCTGATTGGTTTCTATAGACAACGAGCTTCCTGGTTAATACACTTTTCATAAAGACTTTCATAAGTCTTGTTCTCTTTTGGATCCGTTCTGTTAGTTATGTAGTGCTTTCAGTAGCTATGTATATCATTATCTTTGCACTTGCTATCCCCAGCTCTTGTTTAGGGGTGAAGTGTGTGTTTTAAAAGGCTTTCCTTAGAAATGTGGTTGGTTTTGTTCTAACAGATGTAAAATGAGCGTTAATGTTTTAGAAGGTTGTTTTGATGATTGGAAAATTCATAGATTCTTCTTTTGTTTCTCTCTAGGTTTGTTTAAAGATGATAATCCTTATGCGAAGTTCCAGGAATGAGTTTTGGAAGCCTGAGTTACCAACTTCTGTGGACTGTCAAAAAGAGTGATTTTCATACGTACCAATTCTTATTTAATCCTGCTGTCCTTTTAGTAGCCAGCTAACCAGCGCTAGTCCTAAGTCTATATATGAGTGACTAGATGATTCCCTTGTATTACAAAGGTTTGGAATGTGTTTGAAAAATACCAAAGTGCCTGAGAATTTTTTTTTTATTACTCCATCCTTTGACACTTGGGGTGTATTCAATACCAAAGCAAAGCATAATGATATGTGGTAACCCATTGCAGCGGGGTGATCCCTTGGTAGGTTGCTGTGGGTATCTGCATATCATTAATATATGTATAGCTGTACAGTACACAAAGGACATAAGAAGTGCTCTAGATCAAACCTCCTAACACCTTCACACATTTAAAGAACATGATCACATATTGGTTGCATCAACTTATTGAACATGAACAACCATCCTGTATGCACTCATCTGTCATTTGTTCACAACTTGTTAGTTTGTTGGCTGAGGGGAGACACTTGCGGCAATGATTATGCGTAAAAGTGTTTATGTATAGATGTGTGTATTGACACTGCTCTCTCTCCAAAGATCTGATTGATAGGTAGAGTGCAGTATTTCTCTTGCCAATATTTTAGCTACTGGAAGAAAAATGTGAAATTGTATATGTGAAGGTTCTGTTGCTGCCATGCTGATAACTGTGAGTTCACTCTACCAGGGCTAAGATTAATACACATGTGTATATAGATGCAGGTTTGTTTGTTCCTTATTGAAACGCTCCATTCACATATATTATCTTTAAGTTGTAACGTTTTATATAAATATAGTTTGTCTTTACTTGTCACCTTTGCTAGGTAAGTTTGAGTGCAATCTAAAAATGAGTTCAGTACAAAGTGCCCGAGTGTGGAACCTTCTGTATTTCCAGCCTGGCAACCAATCACCTTCTCACTTCCTGGGCAGGTTAGAATATGTAAGGTAGATAATGATTGGATGTCAGTGAGGAAGCGGAGTGTTCCATCAAGACATCGCATACATGAAGCCTAACATTTTAAATGGAATTTCCATTTAAACATTTGGGTGCCTGTATATAGCAACATGGAGAGACTCCCCTTATATAACGGTGAGACCTTCTGCTAACATTTTCTTGACAGACCAAGTACATTATAATAGCTCTTCATCTCTGTAGGTGAGTTGACCCTGGAATAGGGTTTAGGAGAGGGAGTATCCCTCCTGCACGGTTTCTTAAAGCAGAACTCCAGAAAACAACTAAAATCTACATTTAAAATACAGAAATGTCAATTCTACTGCATGTTGTGTTTTTTCTTTTTAAATACTCCAACATTGCATATACAGCACTGCTTCAGTACAGTCAGAACCTCAATACCACAACTTTTCTCCACTTCATACATACAATGCAAAGAGTGGGCTGACATTGGTGTGCTGGCGCTCCTCCAACGTCTCTTTTTTGAGATAGTGACCAAAGGTCATAGCAAGGAGGAGGGGGGGGGGGGGGGTTATAGTGAGAGACCTGGGGGTGCAGGTAGCTGAAGGCACACTTGGAATGCCCTGTACCAACCATAAGCAGAACAGAGCAGTGCCCCAGGTCTGCCTACGAAGTCTGAGCCATCTGGTAACCGTGAGACGTGGTATAACTGATCCACGCATACCATGTGCCACAACTTCTGTCTGTCATAAAGGGAGGCAGTTAGGTCTTCCATCAGCATAGTGTCATTTATTCTGGGAATCTACATCTCCATGGTAGGCGGGTTGTATTGTTTCCACAATTCCAGAATACACACCCAAACAATGTTTTTTATTAGATGAACCACCAGAGGGCTTTAATATAGAAGAGGTTATAATACTTTTTCAATGGTGATGGCGGTCATGTGCCTGTTACCAGTTCAAACGCACATCCGTGACTTTAGATGTCTGACCCTTTCCTCCAAAAGGTATCACACCTCTAACATATACTTGATGACGTGAGAAACATTTTCTGCAGAACCAAAGGTACTCTTTACCCTCTTGGTAAGAATTTTGTAGCCAGCCTCTTGGATGTTATTGAATATGGCGGACTTCTTGGCAAAGAACATTGTGATTTACCTGCTGTGGTGTAAAAGATAGCCTGAAGTCTTTTTCCTATTGGCTAATAAAACTAGGAAAGAGGTTGATCCAAAGGATTACCGATGGTACGCACAATCATAGCGCGAACATTCCTCACCGGGGTTACATCTCTACACAATTTCTCAAATTGAGTTAAGGGCCTAAGAAGTTTGGACTTGTCTCTGTGTGACCTAACAAAATTCTATATTTGCATTGCTCCCCACTATGCTATCGGAGGATCAGTCAGACTTTGTATGCATGACACTGGCACAGCTGCTGTTGGTCTGTCATAAGATGGGTAAGCCATGTTGGGGGGGGGGGGGGGGGGGGACTCGTGGTGC